TCCCCATCCTTCAAGATGGCTTTGTGTCAGCAAATATTCATGGGTAAAACTACAAACACAGATGAGGGTAATCAGTGCAATACTTCAAGCGCCATATTTTTTGCCAGAAACTGTTTCCATGGCAGCTGTGCTGCAGTGATGCCTCATAAGTCTTTTCCCATTCAGGGAGGATTAAGGCCTTGCTGCTGAGACAGAGGCTGTACTATTAGAGGGGGACCTGCTGCAGGAGAAATTCAGTAAACTGATTGAGACCATCTGCCTAAGTGTGGCTGAAAAGAACCACCAATGTTCCCAGTGTACTCATCAATCTTTTGTTTCATGTTGAACTATGAATTAGGAAAGTCATGTAACAGCTGGGAGGCGGTTTTCACCAAGTGTCAACCACTTCTCAAACAAGTTATTGGTTGTGGAGGGACTGACAAAAAGCAAGCAGGCTTTGATGGATGGCAGCCCAGCACAGTCTTAGCTCTGTCTGATGGAGCGAAGTACATAAGTGCAAAAGATGTTCTAAACAACAGGAGGAAGAAAAGGGCTAGTTCTGTCAGACACATACAACTGCTGAGGAGAAAAGCTATCTTGTAATACCAACTATAGAGAAATTCAATAAGATCACTTTGAGTGTCAAAACATATTGCAGGACAAACTATCCATAGAATGTGGCAGCACAAGGGAATAAATATAATCACAAAATAGTCAATAAGATCGAGTGAAAATACAAAATAAATGCTATGTGGGAGACAAATGTGGAAATATTGTTAGTGCCAGTAAACAACAGAGTACTCTGTGTCTTTCACAAGCAAAGCACAGAAAAAACATTTGTGTTCTCCAGAAGAACTCATGCTGACTTAAAATGAGAAGGATACAGAAAGCAGCTTTATGTCATGGTTTAGACTATGACTGGAGTATAATCTAGAATGGTCTTGTATTTCATAAACTGTGCCTTGAAAAGGTATAGTAAAATCTTACTGGCCACAAAAAAAAAAAAAAAAAAAAAAAAAAAAAGGCAGAAGCAGAACAGTGGAAACAACAGAAGTTCCAGTTGGGAAAGATTTGGAAATGGACATTAGGCTTCTTGTTGGATCACAGCAAATTAGCCAAATTCAGAGAACCTCAAGAAAAAGGATCTTTTTGTGAAAAAAAGTCTGTGTACAACTATTTTTAGCTGTACCTTATTTAAGCACACTCATATAAAAGAACTTGAAATCAATTTAAAATTTTAAATATTTTGGTCTTTGATAGAAAAGATAGCCTCTGAAAATTGGAAAAAGGAAGAGTATCAAAGGGACACTTTATTACTGGATTATACAATGTGGCCCTGGGGAATTATAATATATCAAGGGAAGTTTATAGCCAAACCAGATAAATTAATTCTATCAACATCTTTCAGCAACTATTTACAGAATTCAGGCCTGATCAGAGGGAGTATATGCTGACTACACAATGGAGATGGGACATAAATGAACAGGGTAAGTGAAACTACATTGGCTGTGCAGAGAGTTTACATAATAATGCAAAATTTCATATGCTCCAACACATGCGGCATTAAATCAGGAAGTGACAAAAGAAATGAAGTTTTTACATACCATAAATGATTGCTGCCTGTAGCAAGTAATCAGACAACCCGCAAGAAGAGAAGTTGATTTAGTTCTGAGGAGTGCATAGGACCTGATTCAAGAAGTAGTTATCAGAGAACCACTTCTGGACTGAAAGTCAACATACTTGTTGAGAAGGATAAAAAAAAAAAATCCATTGCAGTAATATTTAATTTTGAGAGAGTGAGAAGATAAAACCGGAGAAGTTAGTTAAAAGAAAAATAAGAACAGCTAAAAAGATTTAATGCGAACAGCATGGAGGCAGGCGAGAGATAAAGTGTACGAGACTCAGAATAATCACATAAACCCCATCAATTTTTAAAAAAGATTACAAAATTTTAGAAGATTTTAGAAAATTTAAGAAGATTACAAAATCTTCTAAACAAAAAAAAAAAAAAACAACCCACAACCCAACACGCAACCCAAAACAGCAGAATGAAGATTATTTTGGAAAGACACCCTTCAAAAGTGTAAGTCATCTCAATGGAGAAAGATAGGGAAAAAAAAGCATAAAATCTGTCAAGTTAAATATAAACCACAGTATTTTGAGATTCAACTTGCTACAGACATAAAAGTTAATAATTCTTTTTTATTAAAATAACCACCCTAGAAGCAGGAGGCCTCCCAGTGAGATGATTAGGTAGAGAGGCAATCAAGGTATAACAGTACTGGTTTCTAAATTAATTGTTTTCACTGATGTTCACAGCAAAGAAGGTTAGAGAGATTCTCACAGTCTGAGGAAGTTTCTCAATGTCTATCATAATCTGAAGGTGTTTTAGAAGATGTAAACAATATAGAACATAAGAATTGCCATAAGGTGATGTTCACCCAAACAGTGTTTTAAAGAAACTCAAATATGACATTTCTGAACTAACTACTGTAACATATGAACCTGTCACTTATGTCAGCCTTGATACGAGAAAAAATGTAACTGTGGCACAGTCTTTAAAAAGGACTCAAGGGCTGATTCCTGTAATAAAAAAATATAAAGCAGACACATTTTTATGCCATTGTAAAAGATCCATGTTGTTCTTATATCTAGAATCATGTGTAGTTTTAGCCTCACCAAATAAAAAAAATGACATCATAGAACCAGAAGCGAGCAAGAAAACACAGATGACTAGAGATGTGGCATGGTTTTTATATATGATAAGATTAAATGGATTAGGATTAATTTATAAAATAGGTTGGAGGAGTGAACATATCAAATCTATATAATCATAAATGATAGATGTAAATAGGAATGCATTATTCTCTGTTTCTTCCTATCAAAGGAGGTACAGGCTTAACCATATAAAAACATTTAAAGCAAACAAAAGGAAATACCTTTCACTCATTGTGTCATTAAAATGTGAAATGTATTGCCACAAGTTGTCACTGAGATAAAGGTTGTGACAGCTGGGTCTCTCTCTCTCCACTCAGCAGCTAGAAACCACTGCAGGTAGGATGGAGGGTCCAGCTCAGAAAGCCAGTTTGTTGCTGGCAACAAGGAAGGCAAAGAAGATATCCTTCATACTACTTCCTCTTTGTCATAAATTCCTGCTGCTGGTCACTGCTGAAGTCAGGATTTGAGGGTAAGTGGAGCATTTGTCAGCTCAAACAAGGTTATGTTTTCATGATGCTATCATAATGGTAATAATAAAAACCAGAAAAGACTGACTATTATTTGCAAAATATTTTTATTTTTGATGGAACTGTGTATCTGATGGCATTCAATAATGTTGAAAGTTGTTTCAACAGGCTTCAGGCATCCTTTCAGTGGGCGCTAATCCCACTGTTCTGTCTGGTGTGTGCTCAACTGATTGGAAATGATGTAGCTGATACAGCAAGCTGCATTTAGAAAGATCCTCGTTTTCACGTTCAGATATATCTTGTCACTAGTTTTAGATGATTGCTGGGTAGCAACTACATTATACATATATGTATATATGTGCACACATATGTATGTATGTGTGTATATATATATATAAAATATATGAATAAAACCAACTTGGTAAACTTCACATTTTTTTTCTGAACATAGCTTTAAAGTATTAATTCTGTGAGCCACACTCACTTTTTATAACACGTGAAAAAGTGAATACTGTTACAAAATGTTTTTCCCCTGCTTTTTGAAAGTTCTTTTCTTTTCTGCTCAGTAAGAATTTTATCATAATTTCATGCCCCTACACTTCATGGTTTGTTACTTGGTCTATTACTCTCACATTTAACTTGATAAGGTCCTGCTTCCTATGATAGTCATTTCTGAGTTTTGATTCTTCACAGCTGCTGCTCTGAAGTCATAGATAACATTCTGAGCATTGCACGTTGCTCCTGGTTTCAAACTTTTCATTCAACTGCAGTACATAGCGCTCTCTGTTTCTCCCAAATAACTTTTCAGTAAATTGTTATAGTCTAATATTCTAAAATCAATGTTTTGTTTTTAATCAGGACAAAATTGTGGACTCTTTTCTTAAAAGAAGCTAGTAACTTCTGTCAAAAGCTTTGGTGATTTATCCTCATCCTCTTCAATCCTTTCTTCAAAGGAATTTAAGTCTGTTACCCAGTTCAGGATGTTTTGGAATCATTGTGTATTTCATACATGCATGAAAGGAAGAACTGATGCTCATACTTGTCTTCATGCCCTCTTTTTTAGCATCATGTTCTTTTTGACCCAATCCTGTCCAGGACCAGGAAATGCATCTGTCAATAACTTCCTTTGGATAGTATGAAAGTGTGCTGGAATAGTGACTGTGTCTTGTTGAATGGTTGCTAGCTGGAAACAAGCAGATAGAAACACGTGGGTTCTGCCCTCCTTTGCCTCCTTCAACACCCACAGTGATCTAGAAGAGTGCATATGAATCTGGACTGCAGGTTGACATCACATAAAACCTTCCTTTACCAACCTTTAGATCTTTAGTTATTAAACTTCCTTTACCAAACTTTAGATGTTTAGTTGTTAAATGGAAAAATTTCATCTGAGATCTTTTAACTTTCTTAAATGGATATAAAATAAGCAAGGACCTCATTTCACACATTGAGCTGAGGTGGTTTTGAGTCTTGAAGCAATAAGGATGTATGAATGGAGAGCTGAGAGTGCCATGGCTGGAGCAGTACTGCAGGTATTCCCACTGGTTTCTCTCCTCTGTGTGTGCTTTTTACGTGAAGGGTCCTAATTTTTTATTCCTTAGCCCTTTCTGTGCAGTGTCCAGGGATCTGTCTACATGCAGTTTTCACTCAAGTTATTTACAACCATGTGAGAGCACAGATAATACTTACAATTAACTTAAAATTTGACACCTTGTCCAATTATATGCACTCGGTCTTAAAGAAAGGACAAACTTTGGCAGCATTAATCTTTTTTTTCAGAGTCATGATACAGGGCAGAATTCTAATAATGAAATATCCTTATTATACAGAACTACTTACAGATATTAGCAGTGCCCTTAGGTATAGGCAGATAAGAACCAGGGCTCCAAGGTCGGCCCTGGTAATTCTTCTTGCATTTTCCACAGTCTGGGCCAGTTGTGTTATGCTCACATTCACAGAGTAGTCTTTTGTTTTCTTCTTTACAGCCAGTAGCGTGAAGGTTGCACTTACACCTATTTTTAGAAGGCAGAAATAAAAAAAAAAAAGTGGGATATTATTTAGAGGTGAGTTTAATTTCAGACTAAGTCTTAGTAAATCATGTCCTATGGCAACCACTCTATTTCTGTGTGTTGTGCCTGTATTATTGTTTTAGCATGCTTTACAGCACATCACTCAAATAGCATGCTGTAATATTTTCAGCTCACACAGGTCTAAAAGCAGTAATTTCACCAAGCCTCCAAGATGCTGACTCTTTTCTTGTTTTCACTAACACAGCTCCACTGAGATCAACTAAATTATTCATAATTTTCACTACAGACAGGTCTATAATCTTGCAGAAATTCAAGAGTTACTCACTTCTCCCAGAAACAAAACAAGTCCTCTGCTTATGTCCTTAGAGAATGGCCCAAATTAAGATCCAAATTAGACCCTGGGAGTCTGAAAAAACAGTTTTCAATTCAATATTCTCTGCAATGCCACATTTAGTAGAAGGGAAGCTCACTATAATGGTGTTTTGTCATTATTGTTCAGCAAGTACTTTCTTGCTCAGAAAGGAAAAATTTTTGCCCACTTTAATTTGATATAGTTGAAGTAGCTGAAGCTCAGAGGAAATATTCTGGTAGGCACATTTAGTTTTACTTACAAAAGAACAGTGAATTGAACCTTATAACAAAATCATTAGATAAACCAGATTCTGCATCTGGTCTTAGAACAATTGTATTTTCTTCAAATTCCTCTCTTTCCCTGATATCAGGGCACTTACAGAATGGGAAGCTAGGCTGATAAACAGGTATTGTCATCTCTTCCCATACCTTTCCAATAAATGTCAAAACTGGCTAAAATCCGTTTCTGTTTGGGGCTGGAGAGAAAACCACTATTTAACGACCCTGCCTGTTTGTTTTCCTAATGATTCTATATCTAGTGATTTAAAGGGTTCTCATGTGGGCATTTGTCACCTGTTCCATGCAGTGACCAATAATTAGAGCAAAACAACACATGGAATGGCCAAGTGCAAATTAACAGCTGTCAAGCTGACTTCCATTTGGAAGGAATATGACCTGAAGCAACTGGCTACATACATATATATCCCCAGGGTAAAACAAGCTTGCAGTTGTCATAAGTGGCTGCTGGAGAAAATCCACAAGAATCTGTAATACAGTAGATGGTGGAGCATTCTCCTCAATGCTAGAAATGAGGTAGATGAAACTGCTGTTAGAGCAATGCTTATTCTAAAGAAAACCAGGTTCAGCACTTTTAAACTGAAAGTACCAAAATGTATTGAGTATGCCAGATAAAAGAAACTGTGATTATTTTTTATATCATTTCCAAACTATGGATGCTTAAAGACTACATCAATTGTAAAGTACATTTTCAAAGACTAGCCACTGCAGAATGAAAGATGCCTGCCTGTGTGTCAGTGGATGAGATATGCCTACTCATGTAGAGATTGAAGATTTTGGTAAATGGCACTGCTATTAAGAAAAGTAACAGGTGGTTTTACTGTCTACAGGAATATGAAAATTGCCTTCTTAGTGTATAGGCAACATAGAAGTTTGGTTTGGTTTATGATTATTAGTGTTATACAAGTATGAAAAAAATCTGTAGATTAATGAAATCTGAAGAGACTAAACTGGAGTTCTTGTTGGTGTCAGGAACTATACATAGGGAGTAAAAGAGCAGAAGCATAAGCAAAAAAAAGACATTCAGAGGACTGAACCACAGAGGCTCTGATTCTCCTCTCGCATGAATTTTTTTCTGAGGTCACTTCACAGATCTCAGAGAGATTAATCATGATTTCCACAGCAAATCAAGGACGTAGCTGAATACTGAATGAGTGAAAAATGCAGACAGTGCTAAAACTGAAAGAGAAAAGCATCTGTGGAGAGTGAACTGAAGCTGGAGAGTACCGTGTCTGGGGAAAAACAAGCCAATAACAAATTCTGTGCTGCATGTGGAGAGGCATTTTTAATGAAACAGGGAAATAGTATTTTTTTTTTTTTTTTTTTTTTTTTTTAAGGAAGGCTGCCCTAGGAATTGGGCAGTCTGTCCCAGGAACCTCATCAGAGTATATGTATGGACAATCTCAGAGACTCCTACAAAGAAGAGAAATGCCTGTTGTTCTTGAGGGGCACTTCTCTGGATGAATGGAAGAGGTAAATGTGTGTAGCAGGTCTGAGAGATGACTAGGGTACAATAAAAAACTAATTCTATTTGTGGGATAAGCAGTAAGGAATACTGAAATATTTCCAGTTACAGAAAGACGACTATTTAGGTAAATGTACCATCTAGATGGACCTTGAGAGAACCACTCTTGCAATGAGATATACTGGATTGTGAACAGTGTGAAAACAAAGCAGCAGAGTCTGGACCTTAGGCATTTCAGGTGACTGTGAAGTAGCTGAGCACCACTGATTTGGTAGCTGACTTGGGCTCCCATCAGATCCCTGTCAGGATGTGGACATCATCTTCTTATGGAAGACTGCCCAAGTTCAGAGTCTTTCATCTGTCTCGTTTCTTTTTTGAGGAAGATTACTTTTCTTTTCTGCTCCAGAGGTTAGGAAATATTTTGTTACCTTATGTGAATATCCATGATGATAGATTGTTACTGAAAATCCTACGTAACATTTATAATTTCTTTAAACACTTGCTTTGAAATGCTGTTCCTAGCTGTTACTACTTTAAATCTGATATAGTAACAAAAGGCTTAATTAGATTTACATACAAAGCACATTCAACACAAAATTTCATATAGACCTTGGAGATGCTTCCATGAGAAGAATGTGGTCACTTCAGCTGCATATGTAAGAATGGAGGAGTTCTAAAAACCTAAAAATCTTCTTCCACATCCTGTGTACTGAGTTCCAGATAATAATATTTCATGCCTATATAGTTTCTTGAAATCCAAAGAATAAAGTTAAAGTGCTTTACAAGGTATTATGTACACATGCCCAGAAATGCAATTAATGGGTAGCAGTGGGTGGGTAGTAGCTGCTTCGCACATCAAGTGGGTTTGAAATGATGATTGAGGGAGTTCTAATAAGTGTAGCAGGTTTGAGAATACAGGCTAAGGTATGGCAAATGTAAGAGAACCTATGCTGCTGCCTTCACACTGCACTGGCAAACAGCTTAAGGGCAAAATTCCATGTAAGGATAAAGCAAATGTTAAGGACAAAGTGCAGTTCTGAGATACAGTATATACTCACCATAAATGGCATTGCTGAGGTCTGATGCATTGTATGTCTTTACAAAGGACGTCTGTGATTATAAATATCAACAACTCCATGAACAATAAGGTTACATACTGGGAGGTGCAGGCTTTGAAACAGTTTTCTACCTGAAGGGAACGGTTGTCTGCCTGTTTTATCTGGTAACGTTTTTTTCAAACTTTTTTTTTTTTTGTTCATCGTTGCGGGAGTGGCTCTGTTAGTGCTGAATTTGTGGAAGTGAAGTGAACACCATGTCCCGACAACACTTGTCTGTATTTGGAAACTTTCATCCTGATGTTTCCGCAGCTCAGTTGATATCCATCTTTCCAGTTCAAACTGTGAGGACTCTTCCTGCTAAGCAGGCTGGTTACAGCACATGCAAGAACACATTTCCCTCCAACGTGCAAATTCAATTTTGAATCACTGGAGATTGATATTGCTGTCCAACACTATAAACTCTAATTGTGTGGGAGAACAAATTTGTTTTTCTGACCACTCATCTTTGACAGACTCATTATTTTGTCATAAAGCAACTGAAATGATATTTTTGGCAGTTACATAAGGTGCAGGAAGCACTCTGGCGCGTTGAAGGAGCAGTGCTGTTGTAGTGGGAGCAGGAGCCCCGGGTGTGCTGCATTCCTCACAGACTCTATTTACATGCAGACAACTGACATTAAAATGCTGTAAATATCACTAAGGTAATCACTAATAGCGTGCTGATGCTCTTGCATGTGAGTGCCAACCGACAGACTGGAGGTCACATGAGGGGATCATTTATGTTGAAGAGATCATTCATGAGAAAGAAGACAAGAGAAGCTCTTTGATACATTTTTAACGACTAGCCATATGTTCCTCACTTAGATACATCTTTGGATCATTCTAGGTCATCACCAAAGTTTAGAAAATCAACTTAAAACCAACTTCTAAGCCCTCTGCAGACTCTTCACTTTTACATGCCACGAGTCAGCTCTCTGCTCCCAGGTAAGCAAAGCCTGAACTTGCAGAGGAGTTGGTATGTTTGCTCTTCGCATTACTGCCCACACAACATGGTGCACACACAGTGTAAAATACCATCTCCACACAGTTTTAATTAGGCATTTTAAAACACTGTTAGCAATGTTAGCAGCCTTAGCCAGCTCCCCAGTGCTAGCAACTACTTCCAGCACCTTGTTAGAGTTGTCCTAAAGGACTTGGCCGTGTTTAGCATGACATCAAACATGTTAAGGCTATCTACATTATGCCTCTCAAGCTTACTAATGACCTTGAGACAGTTTCACCAGTGAGATTTAGCTTGCTAAAATAATGTAGACAAAGATGAAAATTCCACATTGCAAATACATTTCAAGTGATACCTCAGCAATGAAGGGGGAAGAGATGAAGGTTGGGAAAGCTAATAAGCAGCTTTAAAATATATCATGAAATCTTTGGGATGAAACCATCCTTGCATCTGAATCATTCAATTTTCAGGTTTTACATATTTTTTACTTTTAATTTTTTTTGACACTTCATGAGACAAATTTGTCACAACTCAGAAACTGTCTGTACCGGAAAGTGACAAAACTCTTGCACCATTGAGTGTACAAGGTAAACATCATGAAAATACTTAGGCTGTTTTTCCTTTAAATCTCTTTAACAAGTGGAACATCTTTTCATAGAGGCTTATGGCATCAGAAACATCATGTCTTCTGAATACTACTATTCATTATATCACAGGATTTTCCACGTCGTGTCAAGAAACCAAAGTATGCTGGTCCTTATCCTAATTTCCAAAGCTTAATAGATGTCTACTCAGCTTGACTATTGAAGCA